CCACGCGAGGGCGCGCGGGAGCTCTCCGCCGAGGCGGGGGAAGGTGCGGCCGGCGGGCGGGCTAGGGGTCCGGCTGGGCCCGGGAAGGTGCCCCGGTGCCGGGAAAAAGGCCGGCCGCCCCCAACCTCCTGGTCCCGGCTGGGCGAGGTGAGGGGGGAGGACGTGGGCCTTTGCCCCTTGCGCTCCAGCCCCAGGGTGCCCGTCCCCATCCGCGCTGGCCAGCTGCTGCTCACGGACACGGTCACGGGGAAGGAGCACCGCCCCGCAGAAAGATCACATGAGAGTAAAGGAAACCAGTTGCCAGTGAAGTCGACTGCGACTCATGGAGCCCCCACGTGTGTCAGAGTAGAACTGTGCTCCACAGGGTTTTAAGTGGCTGATTGTTTTGAAGCAGATCTCCAGGTCTTGCTTCCAAGGCACGTCTGGGTGGACTAGAACTGCCAACCGTTTGTTTAGCATGGAGCAAGTCAACTGCACCACTCAGAGACTGCGAATAAAGGATGTTGTGTGCTGTCCAGTAGGTTCCAACTCACAGCCGCCGGATTGTGACAGAGCAGAACTGCCCCATAGGGTTTCCTAGGCTGTAATTTTTCTCCCACAGAGCGGCTGGTGGGTTTGGCCCACTGACCTTTAGGTTAGCAGCTGAGCACTTAACCATTTTGCCACCAGGGGTCCTTGAATAAGGCATAAACCCATTGCAGTCAAGTTGGTTCTGACTCACAGCGACCCTATAGCACAGAGTACAACTGCCCCATAGGGTTTCCAAGGATCGGCTGGTGGATTCGAACTGCGGACCTTTTGGTTAGCAGCCGAGCTCTTAACCACTGTGCCACCAGGGCTCCTGAATAAGAGATAAGTCCCCAGAATTAGCGAATGGGCCTAACGCCAACCTGGGCGAGATTCTTTTTCTCTACAGCCTGCTGGTTCTGGAGTCTTACAAATTGGTGTGTGGTCAGTTCCTAATTCCTTACCACAGTTAACACAGCGGAACCCATTAATTCTTACTGGGGAGCAGACCCTGGTTGGACAGACAGGGAAACATGGTAAAAAGCATGGACTGTACATTAAAAAATAAAAAAGGAATGAAGAGGCTCTCTGTGGACTGAATGGAATCATCTTCAACGTCCACTCTTGTGGGGAAAAACAATGAAAACACTACAACCATTTGGGGGGGTGGAGAGGTGAGAAGAAGGCAGGTGCCTGTGTGTGCCTGTGTGAGTGTGTGTGTGTGTGTGTGTGTGCGTGCATGTGTGTGCACATATGCCTGTGTGTGTGTGTGTGTGCAAGCTTGTGTGTTCATGCATGTGTATATGTGCACGCATGCTTGTGTGCCCGTGTGTGTGCACGTGTGCATGTGTGCGTGCATGTGTATGCGCTCATGCATATGTGTGTGTGTGTGTGTGCGTTGCATGTCTAGGCACATATCCCTGGAAGGACACTAAAGAAGGATGAGCATTGACTGGCTCCAAAGAGGAACTGTGGCAGCTCGGTGGGGAGCAGGAGGGCCCCATTTCTCCCCGCTATTCTGTGTGTCTTGAATACTGGACCAACCACTTGAAGGCTGACAACTCAAAACTAATTCTATTTTAAGAGCATGGGCTCTGGAGTCAAATCAACTCTTGTTCCAGTCCTGGTTCTCTCACGGACAAGCTGTGTGGCCTTGAGCAAGATACCTAACCTCCCAGAGCGTTGGCTTCCTCGGCTGAAAAATAGGGTAAGAAGGAAAGGGCTGCCTCCCTGAGGTTTCCGTCGGATGATGGCATAGTCCGCAGGGAGCTCATCTGGGAGGGCGCACAGGAAGAGCTCCAAGATGGTGGCTGTGGGGATGACTAAAATCTTGCTTCGGGAGGCGCTGAACTTGTCAAATGAGGCCCTTGGAAACAAAACCAGCTGTAAGGATTTAGGACACAATCTTTAAAGATGGGTTTGCCGGGATCTGCCTGCTCCCCATCTACGAATACCCGTCTCGCCCCTCCCTGAGTCTGTTGCTTACACCTGGAGCTTCAGCTCCAATCTGCCCTCCACAGCTGCCTTGACCTGCCTTGACCTGCCTTGACCTGGACCTCGGAGGCCTGCTGAAAGTTCCTGTAGCCGGACTTGTGGGCCCCCGGCCTCCCACCCAACAGTTTTCCTGAAAAGACTGCCTGCACTCCTTCCCACAGCCACACCCAGGATGCCCAGGCCCCTGCCCGTCTGCACCGTCTTCTAGTTCCGTGGCTGGGCCAACAGGCTCCATCCCAGTCTTGGTCCTCTCAGGTCGGCCCCACCTGGCTGGAGGGGACCAGGTACTGCATCCCAGGTGAGTCCACATCTGCAGAGAGGTGAGTGCTCACAGGTGCTGTGTGACCACAGCGATCCCACATCTCCAAAAGACACCTAGCCTCACTCTGAGACCCACGATTCCTGGTGTCTTTGCTGAACCCCATTAGTCTACCTTCTGCATGTCCCCAGGGACTAGGCCAGCAGACACTTCAAAAATCACTCTTGACTGGTTTTATCAAACAGCAAAAAAAAAAAAAGAGAGGAAGGAGGGAGAAAGAGAGAAAAAAAAGAAAAATCAGCAACAGTAATAGTACCTGTCTCGAAGGGTAGTTCTAATGATTAGATGAGTTAATGTTTGGAATGAAGGATATCATTGCTGATGTCAGATGGATCTTGGCTGAAAGCAGAGGATACCAGAAAGATGTTTGCCTGTGTTTTATTGACTATGCAAAGGCATTGGACTGTGTGGATCATAACAAATTATGGATAATATTGCAAAGAATGGGGATTCCAGAACACTTAATTGTGCTCATGAGGAACCTGTACATAAATCAAGAGGCAGTCATTTGAACAGAACAAGGGGATACTGCGTGGTTTAAAATCAGAAAAGGTGTGCATCAGGGTTATATCCTTTCACCATACTGATTCAATCTGTATGCTGAGCAAATAATCCAAGAAGCTGGACTATATGAAGAAGAACGTGGCATCAGGATTGGAGGAAGACTCATTAACAACCTGCGATATGCAGATAACACAACCTTGCTTGTTGAAAGTGAAGAGGCCTTGAAGCACTTACTGATGAAGATCAAATACCATAGCCTTCAGTATGGATTACACCTCAACACAAAGAAAACAAAAATCCTCACAACGGGACCAATAAGCAACATCATGATAAAGGGAGAAAAGGTTGAAGTTGCCAATGCTTTCATTTCACTTGGATCCTCAAGCAACAGCCATGGAAGTGGCAGTCAAGAAATCAGACGATGTATTGCATTGGGCAAATCTGCTGCAAAAGACCTCTTTAAAGTGTTAAAAAGCAAAGATGTCACTCTGAGGACTTAGATGTGTCTGACCCAAGCCATGGTATTTTCAGTCGCCTTATATGCATACAAAAGCTGGACATGAACAAAGAAGACCAAAGAAGAACTGATGCCTTTGAATTATGATGTTGGCAAAGAATATTGAGTACTGTGGACAGCCAGAAGAATGAACAAATCCGTCTTGGAAGAAGTGCGGCCAGATTGTTCCTGAGAAGTGAAGATGGCAAGACTTTGTCTCATGTACTTTGGACATGTTATCAGGAGGGACCAGTCCCTGGAGAAGGACATCATGCTTGGTCAAGTAGAGGTCAGTGAAAAAGGAAGCGCCTCAGCAAGAGATGGATTGACACAGTGGCTGCAACTATGGGCTCAAACATAGCAACAATTGTGAGGATGGCACAGGACCGGGCAGTGTTTCGTTTTGTTGTACATAGGGTCGCCGTGAGTCACAACCAACTCGATGGCACCTGACATTTGCAAACTGCTTACAACAGGCCTGGCACGTGGAAGAGAAAGCTTTAAAGTTAGGTGTTACAAAGAGACAGGGTGATAATTACCTTGTATCGGAGAAAGTCACCTCCTTCCCCTCACCCTTTAAATTCACCTCCGAGCCTTCTTGTTTCTTTAGCAGAAAGTTTCAGGTGATACTAAATCTGAAGACACCTTTCTTCTGGCGCCTAGAGAGAAGCTTCGGGCTCAGAGCTTCAGGAGGCAACACTAGAGGGAGGGAATGTCACAACGCTGTCTGATCTTCCTTGTATCTATTTTTGTGATCACCTCCCATTTTTGCTGAGTGCTACTGATTTTCCATTTAATCTGTTATAAAAATGTCCTCCTTTTAAAATTAACTTAAGTAAAAAAGAATAGGTTAATTTAAACGAGAAAGGTTGACTATATAATGGTACAGATGGACATGACAAAATGTATGGAGGAGGTCAGCCAGCAGTAGGACCTGCCGGAAGTTATCCATGCTCTCCCCCGCATTCTCTTCCTACCAACCTTGTGTCAGCCGAGGATGCTTCTGGAAGGCAGCACTCCATGTCCAAAGATGTCCCTGAGACCCCTGCAGCCAAGTCCCCACTACGCTGTGCTTCCCAGGTACCCTGCCTGCACCCTTCCTAGCAACCTGGTGGCCTGCATTCAGGACACTGTTAACAAGTAGCATTGCAGTTAACGTGCAAACCTCATTTTACTCTCAGGCTAAGGAAAACATAGTCCGGAGAAAAACCCCAGCTGAAA